GTGCTAAGTGTAGCTGCAACTGAAACTTCCTCTGATTTGTATTTGATCTTAAGTTTTGTTTATTAATTTGACTTTATTTTATTTCATTAAATATTTGATTTGTTATTAGATATTCAAATTTATTTTTATTAATTTTTTAATTAGTTTTATAACAATTATTTAATAATTAATTGATCAATTAATAATTTTTATTCGCTATTAAATTTAATCATAAAAAATTAACCAAATTAAATTCTCTGAAACATATTTAAACATTGTATTAATCAGTTCAAACAATAAAATTTATTTTTATTGTATTTTTTACTTTTTGATATATGTCAACAAATGAATAATCTGCTAAATATTTTGAAATATTTTTTAACATATAATATTAATAATTAATTTTTATATATTTTTTTCTAAATATGAATAAAAACTTCTAAAATAAAAAATTTATTTTATATTATATATTTATATATTTTTCTATTTTTTTTATATATTTTTTTTACCAATATTATTTTAGCGTATTATTTATTTAATATCAATAATTTATTAATTTTAAAATTTGTTCTATAATTTTTTAATATTATTTTTCATATTCATGTATAAATGTATATAATTAATTATTTATGGCATACAAATAACTAATTGATTTATTTAGTTAATTTTTATTGTTCTATATTATTTTTGTAAGCTTTATTTCATGAGCTGCAGACAATAAGAACTCGTCGAATCATATGCATAGCCATTCTTACACAACTGCACGCTCAATTTTGTGCAGTGCATGCGTCAGCTATGGCTATGACTATGGCATCTGATTATGAGCAGCTCCAAGCGCCAAGTTCGAAGCGCTCTCAACTGCCAGTAGCTACGGTTCTAGTCACAGTCAGTCAGTCAGTCAGCGAACTCACACTCACACTCACACACACACACACACACACACAGGCACTGTCACACACACCCTGTGTAAGTGGCAGCTATGCATGATTCTAATTATTCTGTTTGGTATAAAGCTGGCTCCGAGACAATGCAGAAGCATAGTCAAAGAACCGGAGAGCAATCGGAGCCATCGTCACCGCCATGGGGTTCCATTGTTTGTATGATGGCAGCAGCTGGAGCGAGAGGGCAGATAGTACAAGAAGAGAAAGAACGAGAAGTTCAAGTACCCTGAAGAACATTAAGCAAGATCTGAAGCGTACCCACACACGACCCTCCATACGGTATATGTACCCTGTATATGCACAGATGAATAAAGGAAGTGAATGTGAAGAAAGTGGAGACAAGGCCAGCAATAGAATATATTATGCAATGGCTCTTAGACATCCGATAGCTGGGAACTGCTGTGTAATCAATCAAAAAAGCAAGAAACAAAAACCGAAAACCAGAAGAAAACCAGAAACAATTGCAAAAGGAAATAAACACGGCAAAGTTGATATGAACCGATTTAATGAATGTTACCTTAGAGAGTGTATATCAAATGTTTAAACAGACTGTTAATTCCAATTGGTGATCAGGTTAAGCCACAAGCTGCGAGCAGCGAGCAGCGAGCTGCGAGCCGAAAGCCACAAGCCATAATGAACGGCGATCATTGTAAAAGTTATCGATAAACAATGCCAAATGAGTCAGGGCCAACAAAAAGTGATTTGAGACAAGTGCATTGTACTTCCACATCCATATATATATATATATATATATATATATATATATATATGCATAGTATATATGTCTGTATATGGAAGGAAAAGTCAATCAATTAGCGGATAAACGCCAATTGAAGTGAGGGAATGCGTGCGAAATCAGTGAAAAATCACACACACACACACAAACACACATGCACACACTCACTGAGACCCCAAGCCACACAAATTAGAAAGGTCTCCCAGATCTGGATGATGGTTTCTGTTGGAAGGGCAACAGATCGGGGCGAGATCTGTTTAAATGAAAGTGAGTGGAACGTGAATGGAAATGTACCTGGTGGGCAATCAGAATGTGCTCAATAGAAGAGTAGATAAACAGACACACACACACACAGACACACACACACACATGGCCAGAAACTGGGCTGGCAAAGCCCTGTCAATTGTCTGGGAACAATGCCAGAGCAGTTCAAGGCTTAGCTCTCCATGAGACACACACATACACACACATATATACATATGCTATAAACTTATTCTTTTTATATTCTTTTTAAGCTTCTGACAGCTGCTGCTGACACTTTTCAAAATAGGGGTTGGGGTTGGGGTTGTCCGGAGCTTAAACAGCAATTTCTATATATTTTTGCGTCGTTTACTTCGAGTTCATATACCTTGAGAACCGAAGCATCTTGTTATTGAAAACAATCAAAAACGTAAAAAAATATAAAAATAAAAAATAAACGGAAAAAGAAAACAAAAACATTTGAAGCGCTTTTGCGTGCGATGCAAATGTACAAAACTCAATAAACTGGAAAACCAGTTTATCACTCGCTCTTTTTGTCGCTGTCCAGTGAAATGCTAAGCTTAACAAAAGTTGCCAAAAAATAAAATTAAAAAAAATATATATAAAAAAAACAATAAAGAAGATTTGTCTGAGCTGAAAATTAAATACCCTAGCCTATAGAGTCGCTAGAAATATGCGGAGTAGCTAAGAGTATGAAATGTGTGTGAAAAACAAGAAATCCATCCAACTATATATATTCACATCTATCTATATCTACCTTAATCTATACATTTCTATGTATATATATATATATATATCTATCTGTATTTATCTATATTTATCAATTTCTATCTTTAGCTACCCACATCTATCTATAACTGTCTGTATCTATCTATATCTATCCATATCTATAAATTTGTATCTGTATCGATATATAGATCTATATATGCATATATAGTGATATAGCTAGCTGATATTCCTTAACTAATTATATTGGTCGTTAAACATAGTTTAAAGTGTGCTGAGTCCAGGTGTTTGCTTAAAGTTGTCTTTAACAGAACAAACCCAAATACTATATCCGACACATAAGATACCTTTGAGACGGTCAAAAGTTGACAGTTTATTAAAGATAGAACTCCATTTCTATCAAATAGTGCCTATCAAACTGATCCTGAGTGATATCTGTATATATGTATATATATAACTGTTCTATGTGTAGTTGATCAAATTTAGATATATATACAGTGCACAATTTTTGATCTACATATATGGATCATATATATATATATATATTTATATATATATGCAGATATAAAGTGATCTACATTTCGTCGACAAAATGTGTATATATAATTCCCTTGGCAAGAGTTTTCAATTAGTAAAAGAAAACAGAGAAGAGATTTCATAGCGATCCAAGTTCCAAGCTCCAAGTTTTCAATTCTCAATGATCATTGTGCATGATCATTATTACGATTGTCATCATTGACATGATTATGATGATGATCATTATTGTTTGTCGGCGCGTTATTTATTTTTAACTGTTTTGCGTTGCGTTTGATTTTTATATGAGATTCAATTAAAAAAACTTTTCAGCAGCAATTTTATAAAATTTAAACAGCTCAAGAGGCAGAGCAGCGAGAGGAGCAGGAGGAGGGAGGGAGGGGTGGGGGTGGCGATGGTGGTGCGGGTAAGGTAGGTAATGGCTCTCCATCTTTAACCAGTTTGTCTGTTAATCAATTTTCGCAACAAATTTTTGCACTTGCCGTTTTGGCACTAAAACTTGTTGACTTCACGGCAGCAACAACAACAACAACAACAACAACAAGAGTCGAGATAGGCAATGTATGTTTGTATCTTGGTATCTATGTATCTCAGCATCCATATGTCCGCACATCCGCATCGATGTGTTATCTGTGGCGCTAGTTTTCGGTTCGCTACAAATTACTTAATATGCATTTAGCAGCTGTGGTTTTTGACCTTAAGCTGCGCGAGCTACGACAACTGATCTATGTAGAAGATACAAACATAAATATAGAAGCCGAAAAGCGATCTGAAAGCAAGTGGCGCGTTTCCGTTGTGGCTTTGAGGGGCAGCATCAACAGATAGTTATGCGGCCAGATAGTTAGATAATTATTATTGCTCTTGGCTCTCAGATGATGGTGATGGTGATGGCGGTGATGATGGAATGCAGTTAGGTTCTCAGCTGGCGATAGATACAGCTACATGTGCTGATACAGATAGAGCAATAGAAACAGATACAGATACAGATACAGCTGCAGATACAGATAGAGCAGACGCAGATTTGATGCTGCTTTCACTGGCTAACACTAAACTCCAGCGGGGCGCTGAGAGCGGGCACCAGGCAACGGGCAGCGGACTTCACACAGCTGCAGTTACGGCGTCTATCTGTCATTTTGATTTGCCGCACAGTGGTGCAAGTGCATGCATAATTGCCGACAGTCAAATATATAACAGAAATAAAAATGATCAAGTGAAATTTGAAGAGCTATTAAGCAATACGATACATGTATGAGTATGTTCGCATATATATCTATATACTCAGCCATGTAAGCTAAATGAGAGAGTGGCCCAGGGCAGCAAGCTGCACATTGGTATGACTTTTATAATATATTTAATCGACTTGAGTTTTTCGCACTATCTGTAGTTGTTATTTTATGTAAATGCTTACTTATCACAGCTGCGCTTCAGCGATTCTTTTTATTTTTTAGCTTTGCGTTGTGTCTTCTGCTTTCGTTGAGTGCATTTTAGTATATTAAAGCATATTTGGGGAGATTGCATTTTGATTGAGTTGCGTGCCACTGTGCGTGCTGCAAATTTTGCCTTGTGGAGTTACACGGGCGGAGCAGCCAAAGCACCGGCATTATTTACCGTTTGTCTACGTACGCTCGCCACCTCAATGTATCCGTGTATCTATGTACGTATCTTTTGTCTCTGTGTATCTATGTATCTTTGTATCTTTGGTTGCTGCTGCTGTTGTTGTTGTTGTTTGTGAATTTCAATCGCGGCTAAAGCAAACGGAAGCAGCAGCAGCAAGAAGTGGAAGAAGAATAAGAAGAGGAGACATTAGTCAGATCAGAACTTACCTAGCGACGACCTCAATTAGCAAGTCTTGGGCTCCATGGTTCTAACTGCGACGGCAACGGCAACAGCAAAGACGACTGCGACTGCGACTGCGTCTGCGCCTGCGTCAGCGTCGTTTGTTTAATTGCTCGTTGTTTCCTGTTAGTTCACATGCAGCTAAGCACACACACACTCAGACACACACACAAACAGACGCGCGCGCCTTTAGAGTGCAGTTTTGATTTTTGATTTTTTTTGGGAAAGCACAAAAAAAACAAAACAAAAAAAAAACAACAGAAAAAAAACACCGAAACTAATATTTACTAAGCGACTGCCCACACACAATTGCAGTTGCTGCCCAATTAAAACGCCAAATGTAATGTATGTAAATAAACAATGTAACAATATACGCACGTACACACTCACACTATAGACAGTCAGAGACACGCATACATCCACACACACACACACACCAAGCATAGGCAGAGGCGAGAGGCTGCGGCGAAATTCTATAGGGCCACGGCGACTGCGGCTACGACTGGCGCTGATCGACCGTTCGCCACGAAACTCGTTTTCAAACTGAGCGCTCAGCTGAGCGACAACAGCTTTGAGCTCGCCAAAGCTCGGTAGCAACAGCTGCGACGGCAACGACGACGACGACGGCGCCACGCTCTCTAAACTAACCTCAGTAGCTACTGCGACAGCAGCAGCAGGCGCAACTACACCCAAAAGAGAGTGAGCGCCCTCTCCCACATTTTTTGTTCGGCACGCTTCAAAACTGCATTTCACTGCACGCACTAAACGGGACTCAGCAACGCCGGCTGCGACTGCGACGACGATGGCGGCAGAGGCTAAAGCTGAGGTCTAGGCTGAAGCTTTGACTGCGGCCTGGGCCTGACAATTAATTTTCATTTTTTTCTTTTTTTCTTTTTTCTTTTTTCTTTGCCATTGTTATTGCTATTCGTAGTCAGCGATGCGATGTGCAATCAGAACTATACATAGATCGTTTTTGATGGCATATAGCGAGCCGGATACGTTCATTGCTACACATTGAGTTGACAGAGAGGGGAATAAAGTGCATGCATTGCTAAAATCATTAATTTCCCACGACCTCGTGTGGATTTTGCCAGACATCAAATAGCATTGATCGAGAACTATATTTTTGATTTCTCAGTTCAAAAGTGGTCAGCTTTCGTTTACATTGCAATCCCTCTTTGTGCATGTTGTCCGTAAACGTTTCAGTTCGTAAAGTAACCCAAATACCATTAAAACCAAAGCTTTTAGTTGATTTTTTGAGTTTGATTTATTTTTAATTTTGTGTGTTTTTTGTGTGTTTTCGCTTTCTGCTTCTCTCAAATAATGGAATTTACTATTGAATTTCAAGAGGAAAATTCTGTTTTTCTAAGTTTATCAATTTACAATCTAATGATCAAATCACAAAAGCAACGAAACGTCCATAATAATTGCATCAAATATTCATCCTAATTGTGTATTTAAATCGTATTTCAAATCTTTTCTTTTGTTTCTTTCATTTCTTAATTGTACAAAGTAATTATGCATATATATAAATAATAGGTAAAAAAAATTGTTGTGGGGACGGCTTCTCTAGCTGTTCTGTAAATGTAAATGGGCCTGTCACATTCACAATTAGATGTCCAGTGTTGTATAATGTTTAAAAGTGATAAATGCCTAATAATTCGATCTTTACGCTATTCAAAGTATTTTTCTTTCGTATATATATCTATATATATATATATATATATCTATATATATATATATATATATGTATATATATCTATATATCTGTATATATAGTATAGTATATTATTTGTATAACTACATATGTCTGTCTGTTTTTTTTTAATTAGAATTTCTATTAAAGCTGATAAATGTACTTGATCATTTGTCTTTTGGTTTTTCATTCGTTCATTCGTTTTTTTATTATTATTAATTTCGTATAATTTGTTTGCATTCAACAATTTCAATGTGAAATAAACTACAAAATGCACATACGTATAGCTCTGGATGTACACATTGCTCCTACCCGAAAAAAAACCCCGTAAACTAACTGTGAATCTGGCAACCGAATGCATGTAAATATGCTGTAAATAGTTGAGAAAAAGTTTGGGAACTGTTTAAAATTTCGCATTTACTGCGACTACACGAGTACGATTTACTCTAATTTTTAGTCAAATACTCGCTCACAAGCTCAACAGAAGTATATTGGTTCGAAACTGTGCTGTTTGAAGTATATACCACTCGATCGCCGATCGGTATATCAGATGTATAGAGCTACGATTAATTGAAGCACAACTTCACAGCTCGATCTATGAGTTATTTTTAATAAATTAAAAAATATTTCTTTTCTTCCGATGGCTGTGAACTGTGAACGAGTATTGAGCAGTCGGTTATGCCCGACTGTAAGTTTCTTATTTGATTTTCTTATATTTTTCGTTTTTTGTTTACGTTTTTTACTGGACAAATGACAACTGCAAAATGCCATAAGATGTATAAATGTTAAGCTACAAATACAATAAATAGTTAATAGTTCATATAATTTAAGGCAATTTCATTCAAATAAAAGAAGAAGAAAAAACACAATTTGAAAGCTCCTTTTCCACTGGCTAATCCAGTGCAAAGCTAGACTAATTTGACTTCTATCGATTGCGACTTCCTTTCCTCTAAAATAGTCGAAACATATTTCATATGCTTCCTTTTCCTACAACTCCTTACGTTTGGCTGGATTGTGTCTGTGTGTGTGTGTGTGTGCCCTTTGACCCGCCCAAAAAAGCTGTTGCTTGTATGTATATTCATTAACAATTATTAAAGCCTTGCCTCCAGGCAGCAGCATTCGTTGTCCCATTTGTCTTTGGCTGTTCGTATTTCTAGATTGTGAGATATTGAGATTTGGCTTCGGTCTTGGCCTGATTGGCAGAGGCAGGAGTCGCATTGCACTTGGAGGCAATTGGACGCAACCATCATTCATCGATTCATTGGGTTTTACTAGCTACAAAGTTTGTAAGTATCAAAAAACTTATCATAAATATTACATAGTTCTTCTCCTTCTAACGATGAAGATGTCTTCGTCATCGTCTTCGTCACTTTTTGATGTAAGTTTGCTCAATTTATCTAATTATTCAGTTTCAGTTTCAGTTTCATGTTCAGTTTCATCGATTTGCAGGCCATTCACAGTCCACAGAGTTGGAGCAGTAACTGTCTGGACTACTTAAGATTACAAGTAGAAAACTTACTGAAGTTTTAAGCCAGCTCAGTTCTAGAGGCAGCAGGGAATATACATAGCTGACTGCAGGGGAACCACATTCGAACTGTCCCACAACAGTCTTCAAGGCGAAGAATTGGGCAGTAGTTAACTCTACTAAAGTAACAAGTTGATAGCGAGTGGCTATTCTCCTTAAACTATAGCTGACTGCAGCATTTTCTGTTCAGGTCTGGACGCCAACGGACAGTGTAAACGGCTTCTGGCTGCACGATTTCCGAGGAACCAGCTAGCTCCCGCACAATATGAATAACTAAACTAAAGTCTTAACTAAATGCTCTACACGACAACACAATGAAAGCACTTCGCTGGCAAATATCACACAGCTGAAGGCAGATACTCAAATACAAGTATCTCTATCTAAGCATGAACGACAGAGAGAGAGAGAGAGAGGGAGGAAAGAGACATAGTGTGTGTGTGGTGTGTGGTGTGTGGCCTCTTCACTTAGCCAGCGACTATCTGGGATACGGAGTTGGTGCGTCTTCGTTTGGTGATTTGCTTCCACAGGCGTCGGTTCAGCGAGGGCTTGTCCTGCAGTAAAGGAAAAAAAATTGAGAAAGGAAATGCTAAGAAGTACCAAGGACGAAAGATTCAGAAAGCCATAGCACTCAAGAAACATGAAGAAAGAAAATATTAAGAAAATTAAACTGAGGACGAAATACGAACTGAACCCATTGGAGAAAAAATATTTATGAAAAAATAACAAGGATCAAATACAAAGGAAGAAATGTCTATAGGCAAATAAAAAGTACAAAATGCAACAGGAATACTTAAAAATAAATACCAAAGCAAAAGCTGAAGCTGAAGCTGAAGAGAAAAATATCAAGCAAAAATACTGAAAATTAGGCAAAATATTAGAGAGGAGAAACTGATGAAAATGGAAAATGAATTAAAAAAGCAAAGAAGATGCTGAGAAAATACCGCGGCAAGAAAAGGAAATATAAAGTAAGAAATACCAAAGATGAAAATACTAAGGAAGAAATATTAAGGAAAACTGATCAAGGACGGAATCGTAAGAACAAATATTTTTGATAAGTGAATATTAAGGAAGCAATGTGAAATGTGCAATTTTATGAAGGAAACGCCGAAAAGAAAAACAATATTCCAAAGGTGAAGGCAGAAAGCTGCAAGGGTGCATTTAGGAATCAAGGAGGAGAATCCTTCTGGAGTCGTTATGCGAATTGCACTTACGTTGTCTTTACGTGGCGACATTTGTGCCATGTCCGCATTGTCCGGCGCCTGCCTCAGCAGCTGCTGACTGCCGTGCAGCTGCAGCTGCAGCTGGGAGTCGCCACCGAATGTGCTGTCGGAGTTGTTGGGATTGTTGCTGCTGCTGCTGCCGCTGGCTGTTATCTCCGAGTTGCGGCGCTTGATAAAGTTGATTCTGGATGGAAGAAGTTGAAGCAGGTTGGATTATGGGGCACATTCAATATGGCTGTGTGGCTGGGAAACGTACAAACGGTTGGATTTGCCCACTTCTGTTTCGAGGCATGCTTCAGTCATTGTTGTTGTTGCTATTGTTGTTGTGGTTGTTGCTGCCACTGCGTCCATCGAAGTAGTACTCATCGTCCTCGTCAGAGAGACTACTGCTGCTGCTCGGCTCGTTGTCAAGGAACAGTCGCGTCTCGTTGCCGTCGTCGTCGTCGTCGTTCTCAGTTTCGTTGTGGTTGTCCCGGATGTCGCCTTGACTCGATAGCCACTCTTCGATTGAGACATGGAGTATATCTTCTCGCGTCTCGCTAAGATTTCCAGATCGCCTAATTTGCTCGCGCCGTTGCTGCTGTTGCAGCTTGTGCTGCTGTCTGCGACGTCGACGCTCGCGCCGCCTGCTCGAGCCGCAGATGCAGAATTGTTCCATGTACTTGGACTTGGATGCTGGCGTTGTGGACCGACGACGCCGGCACGAACTGAACCAGTGGCGCGCGGACTTCCGTGGCTGCTGCTGCTGTGACTCCGCTGGCCGGATGTGGTCGCCATGGCGGGACGTGGTCGCCGGTTCACCGTCGGCGTGTCCATCTTGGAGTTGCGTTGTTGAGAGTACGATATGACAGCCTCTTTTGGCTGCACCCGATTCGTGGCTGAACGACTCAATAAATCGCGACCCGTCAGACGATGAAATGTGGAGAGGTCGTGCCTAAAGCAAAAAAGACAAAAAGCAAGAAGAGAAGAGCAGATCAGATACTTGATTGACTGACTGATCGACGGCCTCGCTCATTGATGGACTGACTGATAGAGCGACCGATCAAAAGATGGAGAGGTCTTGCTTCACAAAGAGAAAAGGAATCAAATTCACTAATTGAATAACTGGAAGTCGAGGTAAGCTGGCTCCGAGGTAGCTGTCTCCTCTTACAGCTATCTCCTTTCATATCTGACTATTGAGTGACCTGTGTAGGGGTCTTAGGACTTACCCCAGAATAGTTGTTAGATCTGGACCAGGCTCGTAGCAGATCAAGTCCTCGTCCCCGAGTATGTCGTGGTTGAGAGCCAATCGCATTTCCAGCCTTGGACTTAAGCCGCAGCCAACGTGCGGCAGTGGGGCAGCGGCCACTGAACGAGTATCGGCTACGTCCGGTACGGCTGGCGTTACCTGTGCCTGAGCCGGGGCCTGTGCGTGCGCCTGGTCCTTGGCCGCTGGCGCCACTGCAGCTGGGCTGCTCTCCGTGCTGCTCCGCATAGGTTTTGCCGTCCTCGAGGCTGTTGCTGATGAAGTGGCTGAGTCTGCCGGCGCTGCGGTACCCAGCAGGCAGGTCTCGATTATCGTTGACGATGGGCGTTTTGGGCCTGCCACCGGCCCCGTCGCCCCCGATGCCGCTGCCACTGACCGTGCAGAGGTTCTGGTACTCGCAGGCGTTGTCCTTGACCCGATACCGATTGTGGGCGAAGCGTTGGCGGCGTCGCCGACAGCCGCCGAACAGCCACTGTCAGCAGTAGCGCCAGATTTTCTTTGAGGTGGCTGCTAAACACCGAAAAGAAGTTCAATTACTCAACATCAAATTCCTTCCAATTCATAAAGAGTGCTCCCTGGTACCTTAGATTAGTGCACGCCTAGCTACCTAGCTGCCCTTGAAGCAACTTAATGACTAGAGAGCTTCACTTCTTAAGCTTTAAATGTAGTTAATATCTATCTATAGGATCTATATCAAATGCGTCTGAATAGTAGAGACAATAGCTCAAACTTTCTTCATGCATAACCGATCAGACCTAGAACAGCCTAGAGTTTTTAGATCCAAGGAGATCTGAGATGTGACAGCTCTACGCCTAACTAGACCTAAGCAGGTAGGCACTTGATTGACAAAAGGATGTCCCATGGGAGCCAACAGTTCAGTTTGGTTGGGACGACACTAAAGACCCACATATATATGGAAGTCTTATCAGAGAGTGACTTAAGAACAGAAAGATCGAGAGCATAGCGACACACATAACTATATCAAAGAGGCTGTTGAGAGGAGATGGGATCTACAACGATGATACAAATAGGGATTGGCTTGGAATGTGGTTGGATTTACTCACCGTTTTGGCCGGTGCAGCGCTTAGATTTGTCTGCGTGAGCAGCAGACGACGAGGCGGCGGCGGTGGTGGTATAAATCTCGGTGGCTTGACGTTGGCTCTGGTGGTGGCGCAGCTGGTAGTGCCGCTCCCGCTGCTGGTTGTTGTAGTAGTCGATGAGGGAGCTCGACTCGCCGTCGTCACTGCTGCCACCACCGAGATCCGCATCGCCGTACTCATCATCGTCGTCGTCGTCGTCGTCGTTGCCGTCGCCGACGCCAGCGCCGTCGTCGTTGTTACTGTTGGTGTTGGTGTCGTCGTTGAGCTCGTCATGACGGATGATGTCGCCATAGTCGCAGGCGCGCGCTGTTCGAGTAGATACTCGCAGGATGAGGCCGCTGGCGGTGGCGGTGGTGCTTGAGCTGGCGGCTGTGCTGCCTCCAACTGGGTCGGCGTCGTAATGGCCGTGGTGGGTAACAGCATGATGGTGGTGGTGGTGCGGCTGCTGCTGCTGCTGCTGGTGGTTGTCAGCGGCCGTGGGCCCAACGCTGTGGTGGCCAGATTCGGTTGCAGACGCTCCTCGCTCGAGTGTGGATCCGGCTCCTCCGGCTCCTCGTCGCTTGAACTTCCAGCCGAATCCTCTAGGTAGTGGCCATTTGTCGTTGCTTCCCCCTACCAATTGTTGGGAATAGAATTCAACTAATCAATTCTGGTTTTGATAAAGCATCCAGCTTGCACTTGATGGGGTTTATGAGTGATTCGTTTTGTTGGTTCTGGTTCATATTTCAGTTAATTTTGTGGTTCATTTTGATTTTGGAATTTCGATTTTGATTCGTTCGATCTCGATTGGTGTTCGGATTCGGGTTCTGATTTGAAATATATGTTTGCTTTTCTTTTTTGATTTTATTCTTGAAATATTTGGTGCGTTCATTTTGATTGTCAATCGTTGTCAATCGCTCGCGGGTCTCTGTCCTGGCGTGTGATGTTTATGAGCTCGCAGTATTGCAGGTTTGGCTAAAGCTTCACTAATTTCACTACGACTTTCTATATATTGTATATATTAAAATATATTTATATATATATATGTATACACAAGCCAACAAACACACACACAAATTATATACATCGAGTCAATAACAACAAGAGTAGAGTACATTGAAAGCGAGTTACAAAAAGTTTACAGTTACAGTTTACACAGTGCGAAAAGTATTTGATTGATTGATGCATGTGTGTATATATGATTGATTGATTGATTCGAGTCGTGGTAATGAAGATGATGATGATGGTGGTGGTGGTGGTGATGTCAAGCAGTTGGCGCACATTTTTGTGTCGTTATTTGTTGCATATGAAAATAAAAGACAAGAAACACAAGTCAATCAAAAGTTCGATTTGATTGATAGCAATGCATGCGGTGCACTGTACGGACAATAAGGCCCAAAGGGTTGCGATCTCTGTTCACAACATTTATGTGGATTTTGAAGTAATGCTGATGAAATATTCAGAATGAAATATGCAAAAACTAAAACGATGAAACATGGAAAGCTTTAGCTTCAAACAAGAGTGCTGCAGTCGGGAGTGTCCGACTTACAGATACCCTGAAGCCTGAGAGAAGTAGCTATGGAATAACTTCAGCTCTAGATGCAGTTTATAGAGCAAGGTTAATAGTTCTTTCAATTTAAAATAAGAATTTGAATTATTATCCAGAGCTTACGTACGGACGGACGGACGGGCGGACGGACATGATCAAGGCAAGACAAGACTCTGGGGAATCTGTCTCAGGTTCAGGGTATAAAATATAAGAAAATAACTGATAGACTCGAGCTGCAAGGGCATTCCAAGTTCAGCTTGCAAGGTCGTCTCTTGCCATGCCAACATCAAAAACAAAGTGGATAAAAAAGTGTTGAAGTGTGATTCGATCCTGTGTCAAGTTGTGAGCTTATTCATTATTCATTATGACTTGAGTTTATTTCATAGTTATTTATTTAATTGGCGATTGATTTGTTCTAAATACGACCCACCTTTTTGATATCGTCGCTGTCCTGCTGGGTTTTCTCTTCGTCGCTCTCGGTCTCCTCCTCGAACAGGGGCTCAAGACGGCGTCTAAGCATTACAAGTTACGATATACGATTCGATATACGATATGAGATGCAACGAATTGTTTTGTTTTGTTTTGTTTTTTTTTTTTTTTTGTTAAATTTCAAATTTGTTTAACATTTTTTGAGCGTGTGATGAAATGATATAAATTTTGGATTTGAGCAAAATGTTTATACATATACAAGTATATATATACTATACTATATAGACATAGCATACATAGTATAGTATACAGCACTAGATGTGTAGATACTCGAATATAAGTTAGCTATGATTACACTCGACTAGGCACTACGGAAGGATGAGACTAGTTCTTATAGCTGGGTCTGTTGGTCTGCACCAACAAAAAACTTGAGCTACACTAACCCAAGATGACAAACAAATATATATAGTATATATATACCGAAATGAGATACACTAAAATGGATAACGAATTGCATTGAAATGGGTTTTTGATTGGGATTACTTGTGTGTATAGAGTAACGAAAGAACGCAAGAAACACCTGTAAAAACTACGAAAAGAAGACAAACATTTAAAAGATGAAGAATATATATATGTATGTTTACTCGATTGCTAAATGAGAGCGCTAAAGATCAGCTTAGCTGCTTAGGTATACGATATAATGTCTAAGGCATCTAACGATGTGAGCTAGTTGTTGCTATCCCTTTCTAGCTCGCTCGCTCGCTCGCTCGCTCGCTAGCCCTTTATGTTGCTATCTCGCTTTAGTGTGAATACCGTTGCTCCTTACCGTGGCAGCAGTCCGCGTATGGTGCTCGCAGTCATGGGCGGCGCCATCAGCAGCTCGTCCATCATCAGCTCCGTGTCATCGTCGTCGTTCAGCGAGGTGCTCGACTTGGTGGGTGACTGGAAGGCAAAGTGTTTCAGGTGGCGCTTGGACGGCTGCAGCATCACTTACCGAATGTGTGTTCTCCGAGTTGATCAGCTGCATGTCGTCGTTGTCGCCTCCGCTGGTGGGCGTGCCCCAGACCTCCTCGCCACTGGTGGCGCCCGAGGTGCACTCGTCCATCTGCTCGTCCGTCTCGGAGGCCGTCTGGTTGGCTGCCGATTGCGCCTGCTGCTGCTGCTCGTTGGCATTCCAGCGACCCAAGTACTTGTCAATGAAGGCGCGCGACTCCTCGAAGAAGGACATCTTGTCGGTGACAAAGGCGCCCGCTCGATTCGTCCACGCTCCACTGGCCAACACATCGCCATTGGTCAAGGTGACGCTCGAGCAGTTGGCCGTCAGCTCATGCAGGTTCTGGGCGAGCGCCTTGTCGGCTGCGGCATCGTCCACATCGTCGTCGTCGTCGTTATCGTTATCGTTATCGTTATCGTCGTCGCCATCGTCATCGTCATCGCCATCATTGTCGGCTTCGTGCTCGAGCTCCTCGTTGAGCCCGTTCTGCGCATAGGGCTCCAGGTCGTCGTCCAGCTCGTCGGAGGGCAGCTTCTCGAGGCTGGACATGGTGCCGAAGCGACGCAGCGCATTGCTCATGGGCCGATATGGTGGCTCCTCGTCCAGCGGCGACTCATCGCACGAGTCCTCCGGTATGTTCTCAATGATCGCCTGCCTTGGCTGCTTGGTTGCCGTGGTGGTCACCTGATCCATGCCCGCGGCACCTCCACTATTGTCCCACACGTGCGTGCTGGTCTTGGTGAGCACCGCATCCGGCGTGGGCGGCACCACAGCTATGGTGGGCGGCGTCGTCTCCTCTGCCTGCCCGCACAGCTTGGCAGCCGGTGCGAACTGCGCCAAGCCGATCAGCATCAGCGACAGCTGGTCATCCTCCTGCTGCTGCTGCTGCTGCTGCAGCTGCACCGAGCTGGTCTTCTGCTTGGGTGACTCCAGCAGCTTGCACGTCTGCTGCTCCATCTTGTCCGGCGCCAGCTGCGTGAAGTCCTCCGGAGTGCAGCGACAATGGCAAGTGGCCGCAGAGCCAGCGTTGGCGTTGGCGTTGGAGCTGCGATCGGTGTTGCGCATAATGCGAGCCGTTTCCGTAATGGTCACAACGGCCTTCACCTGCTGACGCACTGGCTCCTGGCACAGCTGGGCCACAACTCGCGTGCGCCTGGGCGGCGGCTGTGGCGAGGCTGAGGCGGAGGCAGAGGCGTTGACTGAGGCGGAGCAGTGGCCATTTGGCAGGGGCTGCTGCGGCTCTAGAACTCGTAGCTTGGCGCTGCTGCTGCTGCTGTTGGGCATCGCATTGACGCTGTCGTCTGTCGCCTCTGATTGGGACAGCGACAGTTCGTCGGTGATTAGTTGTGCCACATCGCTCTCCGTGTCGCCGGTCTCGCGCCGGCTGCTGCTAGCGACTACCTTCGAGGAGAACTCCCCAGTGATGGTGCTGCTGGATATGCTGGTCACGCTGCCGGTGCCCGTGCCACTGCCAGCTACGGCTGCTGCCGCTGCTGCAGCTGCTCCAGCTGCCCCAGCTGCCGCTGTGCCGTTCAGCTTGCAGCAGCGGTTCGGCGAGGATTGACTGTGCTGCACCTTCAGCGAGTTGCACAGCAGCGAGGAGCCACCTGCACCACCAGCATCAGCGTCAGCATCGGCATCAGCATCAGCTGCAGCCGACCCACGCCCCCCGCTGCCGCTGGCTGCACTCTGCTGGCAGTTCTTGTGGCAGTGACGGCACACCGCCAGCTTGTCAAGCACAATGGGGCTGGAGCGCACCGTGATCTAAGCGAATGAAGCGGCAAACGAAATACCAGATCTAGCAATACGTTCTACATGGATCATGGCCACTAGAGGTGGGCGCAGGCAAAGCAAAACTTCCCTAGGCCCTAGATGACCCTAAAAAATGGGAGCTCAGACAAGCTTTGTACTCTGTACCCATCAGCTATGTCTATATATTCCTGATCAGTACTCCTCAGTATGCTCCAGATCAGTAGCAGCAAAGCCGACAGATAAACCATAAAACTAGAGACTTGACTCAGATCAAGTTGATTTTATTTAATCGAAAACAACAATGAAGTCTTCAATTTGAATAGATCGATAAAAATCGATAAAATTCTATTGCTTCGCAAGCTTCCAAAGATTCTCAGAGAGTTGTCATAAGCATACAGAAAAGAATTCCCTTTGCTCTCAGAATCTTCTAAGTCTTATCTATCTATTTAATAGATCGATAAAAATCGATAAAATTCTGTTGCTTCGCAAGCTTCCAAAGATTCTCAGAGAGTTGTCATAAACATACAGAAAAGAATTCCCTTTGTTCTCAGAATCTTCTTAGTCTTATCTATCTATTTAATATACCTATCTATTTAATATATCTATCTATTTTAATATACCCAACTTTCTTGGGATTTGGCTTTCAGAGCTGCGTTCTTCTACCTTTACCGCTTTACGCTCTCTCATAAATTTTCTATAAAACACTTCGCTTGCAGAATTCATTTTCTGAATTGGCTCATTTCAAGTCTAAATCACATTTCAGGTGTATGGATCATGTCACAGTTCTGAAAGACACTCAGATATACAGATCAATGTCAGTATTTCTTATATTACATAGCTGTGGAATAGAGGTCTAGGAGCGTGTTTGATAGGCATACAAAGGTAAGTTACTGGCTAGTTATAGTCCCAACTAGCTTAAACTGAACTCTAAGGCTTATCTCTAAGCTTATCTGACAAGGACAAGGACAAGTATCTGGTCTCAAGTTATATATCTGTATCTAGGAAGCAGCTTATAGAGCTAACGGGTCCTTGATTTGCTGTCGGTAATTCTATCTCGAGAGCTGCTGAAGACATCTGAATCCCACGCCCAACTCCGGAGCCAAAATACTAGGGTAAACATGGCTCACTCACCTGGCTATCGGATGTGGTGCTATGCGATTGGCTAATCTGGCTGGTGACCACCTCCGCCTCCGAGTAGATGTCTGAAGTGGCGCTAATGCTCATGCTCAGCTCCTCGACGCCGCTGAGGCGCTTGCCACCAAAGTTTGGCTTGGCGGAGAGGCCGCCCATCTCTTTGGCCAGGTTCAGCTCCTTGGTGCGTTTCTCCAGCTGCTGGCGCGTCCAGTAGATGATGCGCTCGTCCTGCTCGCTGTCGCTGTTGAAGATCAGCTGCTCGTCCTCGGCGCTAATGTTCTCCTGGGAGCGCGCAATGGCCGCCAGTCTCGCCTGCTGCTGCTGCTTGTCCAGCTGGCCCTTCATCCAGTTGGCCAGATGCAGGGCACTGGACTTCGGCGTGCCCGTCTTGTTCAGGATGCGGCACTTCTCGTCGATCAGCAGCTCGATCTGCTCGACGGCATGGCCATGGCCATGGCCCAGGCTTGGGCCGCGCTGCTGCAAGAGGCGCTTTGTTTAGCTGGAGTTGACCTAGCCATGCCCCGCCCCAAACCAACCGCAACCACCACCCAGACGCACAACCACAACCACAACCACATAGAGCTGCAGCTGCCCGACGTTGATTGCAAATTAAAAATTTGTGATGGGCTCAAATTAATTTCAAAATCTTTGTTCATTTTTGCGCTTTTGAGTTAATTTTTTCTCTTAACTTTTTTGTTTCTTTTGGTATTTTCAAGTAGTTATTTGTTGCTTGTCTTTGGCATATTGGTTTCATTTGGTATTTTTGGTATTTTTAAAAAAGTATTTATGTTGCTTTTGCTATCGAGAAACAGAAACAATAAAAACGCGCGATCTGTGGTCAGAGGCCATCTTTGATTAAAAACGCTTGCACTTGCAGAGGTTCAGACTGCGATAACGATAACGATAACGATAACGATAACGGTAAAGATAACAGTAACAAATCATAAGTTTGAAATTAGAAGCGACAGAAGTATTTTGCAATGGAACTTAAACTAAACTAAAATTGAGGCCATCACAATTTTTAATTTATCAATTTTTTTGACTTTTTTCTCAGTTTTTTTTTTTTTTTTTTTTTGGTTTTTCTGGTCAAACAATTTTGAACGCAGGATGAACCGGGACCGGGAGAGAATATTTTTCTTTTTTTTCTTTTTTTTGTTTCTTTTTTCGGAACATTTAGAATAGTTGTTGGGCAACGTACAGAGTGGTACAAAGTGAGTGCTCGGTGGGTTTGTTTTTTATTTGGTTGGAGAATCATATTTTTGTATAGGAATTGAAATAAAAAGAACATCACAAGCGTTTTTAGTCAAAGACTTTTTTGGTTTTTATTATTCATCGTTTCTCAACTCAACTGAACTCAATTGAACTAATCTTAACTCATCTCGTGTTTGTGTAAATCTTGCACTTTGCTGGCAACTCAAAAATATCTAAAAAGGGAAATCAAAAGTTGTTTTTAACATATCCTAGATAAGCTTTCACCACACTATGCGTGGCAAACGCCGATTTCTTATTACTTCTATATATATATATGTGTGTATATATATATCGAGGGTATATAATGTGTGTATATATATGTACTTTGTATATATGTGAGATTACACAATAGGTATATATAGCTTAATGCGAAAGGGAAAATACAAATAAACTACGGCTACGGCAACACAAATTTGCTCACTGGGGCGCCGCGTACACGAGGCGTATACACGATAATTCGTTTTAGAGGGCCATTCAGCCAGCTCTCTCTGTGTGTGTGTGTGTGTGTGTGTGTGTTTAGATTATATCAATTCAATGTATGTGTGCTGATGCGTGTTGAATTTCATGTGTGCTCAGATTATATCAATTTAGAGCTCTGCGTAGTGCAATCGTCATTATTGAGGTCGCACCGTGGCCCAAAAATTGAATTTATGTGAGCATATATCAATCACTGTTGCTCAAAAAGAGTGAAAGAAGATAGTAGTAATAGAAGTAAGCTTAACTTAAATGAATCAAAGCTATGAATGGCTTTGGTTGACTTGAAGATTTGACTTTAGCAGCTTTGAATCAATTCGAGTTTTTACTCTGCGTACGTGAGTCAAAGCTCAAGATTTGAAATTATTTAAATATGACTCGAAGGCAGAAAAGATGTGCATATATTAAGCAATATATTAAGCAATTTGTGAGCTGCTCAGAAGTTATTCAGCTGTAATTTGCTTTCAGCCTGAAGTGCTGCTCATTGATAGCTGAAGCAAATAAATTGTGGTTTTAAACAAAGTTAAAAGTTTCATCAAGATTTGTCCAGAGCCAAACAATTCGAATCTGAGCACCATAAACGAGGCTAATGAAATGCACATGGAACTTGCCCCAAAAAGTATGCTACGTTTTTTGCAAGTGAGCAAAACTTTCATTTGAATCATGACTCAGCTTGAATTGTTAATTTCTTTGAGGGCAAATGAAAGCTACAAAGTATTTGGCATGCAAAATGCAAATTTCCATGTGTGTGTGTGTGTGTGTGTATGTGTGTTTTGTTGAGTTACTACTGTATTACACAAGGCAACACAGTGCGCGTCGCAACAGTAAATAATTGACAATGACATCTTTATCAGAGATCCACATATATATATAGTATATAGTATATAGTATACAGTATATATGTAGAAAGACAGTTAGTATTTTCGCTAAGTGTACGTCTGGACGCCGAAGACTGAGCAAAGATTGTTACAGTTACAGTTATATAGCTAGCGTATATATATAAATACGTTTACGAGTGAGTGTGTGTGTGTGTGTGTGTGGGAGTACTATGTACACAGAGGGAGAGAGGGCGGGAGAAATGTTGACTGAAAGCAACAAGAGGAAGAGATGAATCGTGGAATCGTGTATAACCTACAAAAAAAGAACATTTCTTATGGCAGCGATTTTTTGATTTCGGTTTTGCTTTTGGCTAACGTTTTAACTTAAGTTTAAATGTAGGAATTCGAATTGAACTAGGGACATAATTTTAGTTTGGTAATACATAGAACAACAACAACAATAACAACAATAGTTTCGTATCGATTTCTTTGAATGTTTCAATTTGGCTTTTGCTACAAAATGGAAGCATTTCTTTAGTTAACATATTTTTCTTTCTTTTTTGGTTGCTAATTTATTTTTCAATCTTTTTCTTCTTTTTTTTTCAAAGAATGTTGGCAAAAAACACATTTCAAGTCGAGTGAATAAGACGATTTATATGATTAGTTAAACATGATTATAAAACTGAGTTTCATTTTTCTTTTTCATCTTCTCTTTTCTTCCTTTTTTGTATATGTGATCGCATTATCCCTGCTGCTGGAGCGCGCGTTCTCTATGTGTATGTACACATGTGTATATGTATGTGTATCTGTATATATATATCGGGCTATGTATATGTACGTGTGTATATTTGACTATCTAGGGGCATATTAACTACTCTAGCAAGTACTAAGGACTAGAAATCACTATTTACGAATTGCTTTAATCTAGTATTACATACAGACATCGGCGTAAATATCAACCAGGATCCGTTGCCCTTCGTGATATTTACACGCGACTGGCCATGGACGATACGCATAGACGAATACAAGAACGAGTACAATACAATATATATATAGATTTACGAGTATATACATAAATATATATATGCTTTTGATCGAAACGGGACGCTGAATACACTCAATTTGTATATGTAGAAAGAAATTACGATTACGATTACGATTACGATTACGATTACGATTAGCATTGAGTATACTCAAGCAGTGTTCATATATATACATGTATATATCTATATCTGCATATACATATATATATGTGAATACCATATATAATAAATCTGTTAGCATTAGTGCAATTTACAAAAGATAATTCACAATTGATTATCAAAAAACCTGTACAATATTGATAATATATATGTATATATATATATATAAGACCTGAATACCAAAGCCAAGACAAATAATTGTTTTTCAATCTGATCGATCGCAGAGAATTGAGTTATAACTCCTGAATTGCATCTGTATATCGTTTATCTAAAAAATCGCAGTTCTCTAATTGCGTTTACTGTTCCAGTGACAGTCACAGTTATCTTCCATAAGGCATTCATTAAATAGATCACACTCATTTGCTCAATTGCTTAGGATCGATAGGTGGATCGCGTGTGGAACGTATTTGAAAGCATTGTCGAATCGGTCAAGAACATAGTGCCCATTCCACAAAGTTTATTCATTGTGTTGAAACAGGTGGAGTCTAGGTCGATCATATATGGAGCCTATGTGGAACGTGGAACCCATGTGTTATGTATTATAAGTTGTCTGAAATCTGTGTAAAGTTGAGCTTCCATCTTGCATATATACATAACCCACATGAAAGACACGTGGACTATGTGTGGAACATGTGTGGAACATGTGTGGATCGTGTGTGGAACATATGTGGATCCAGTGTGTATGGTATGTATGGTCCACATATGGAACCTGTGTGCATCACCTGTGGAACCGATGTATATGCTCGAATGTCCCATTTGTATACAAGTGGAACCTATGTGGAAACTGTGTGGAGCATATATAAAGCACCAAAGCAAGCCAAAGAGAGCAAAGTAAGTTAGAAGTGATAAAGACGTGACGGAAGCCACGACTTAGCTTCATAGTAAAAGACATAGACTTAGGGCCTGACTGACTTGTGAGGCTTAGCTAAGGTTAGAGTAAATCAGTTGGGTGGTTGTTTAAGCTCATTTGTTGTTAAAGATTCCGCTTGTGTGCGTGTGTGGGCGTGGCTATGGCTGTGGCTGTGGCTGTGGCTGTGGCCTGGGTCCGTTGCCGTTGCCGTTGCCGCATCGGTTAACAGCCAAAAGTCAAATCACAGATCCAATGAATCCGGCGGCGTTGGCTTGGTGGGCAGCATGCCAAATGGATCGTCCACAGCGACGACGCTATCATCGTCGCTGTCATCGTCTAGATCCGTTTGGCCGATGTTGCCATCACCAGCTCTGACGCCGCCGGCGCCGGCACCCACACCATCGCCCAGAAAGATGCACTCCTCCACATCCGTGTCGTAGCACGGATCCAGATTCACCTCGTTCAGCTGCAGATCCAGCTCCAACAAATCCCAAGAGCCGCCGAACTCGGCCAACGGTATACTGGCCACCGTCGCCACGTTGGCCGTTGTCGGCGGCACAAAGTCATTGGAGAAGGCATCCGAGTTGCAGACCAGCGAGCTGGGCGACAGATTGGGCGTGGGCGTATCGGGTGTGGTCAGCGTGGAGACCTGCTGAACGACATGCGTGGACTCGTCAATGAACGAGCGACCCACCGAGCTGAGACTGAACTCGAGTAGCTTCTGCGCATGCGTTGCCACCGACACAGCGGACGAGGCAGCTGGTTCGCTGCTCGCCTCTGGTATGGCCGTTAGGCATTTGCTGCTCGCGCTGGCGCTGGGCAGCGACTGCGTATGGGCGGTCAGGCTAATGCTGCTGCTCAGGCAGGAGCTGTTGGTGTTGAAGCGGCGCAGGCAGCTGTCGCCGCCAATGCCGACAACACCGCCCACACCATTGGGCATGGAGCCGCCACAGCTGTTGGTATGCGCACGCACGCCGCCCGCCAGCCTGGCGGGCGAGTTGGTGCGCGAGGGCAGCGAGGCCGTCTGTGTGCTGGCCGTGATGCGGGCATGGGCATGATTCGGTACAGTGGCCGAAGCGTGGCTGGGATGGGGCGCCGGCACCAGCGCACTGGCCAAGCGCTGCAAATTCTCATAGGAATCGGCGCTGTCCAGGCGCTTGCTGCGAAAGAGACGCACCTGCTGTTTCTGCTGCTGCTTCAGGTTGATGCTGTCCAGCGAGGGCAGCTTCATCGATCCCATCGATGCGGACGTCATTCCAATGTCGCTTAAGGGCACCAGCGTATTCAGCACGTCCGGCGAGTCCAGCGGGCTGGACAAAGGCGTCGAGCCCAAGGCGGCATTCACCAGAAAGCTATGGGTAAAAGCAAAAGGCGAAACGGAATCGGTTATAAACGGTTGATATTGCAGTTGGAAAGGTTTGATACGGCAATAAGTTACATCGGATCAAATGGCAAAGCTCTTAGGATAATTAACGAACTCGATTTCATCGCTAACTGCAATAGCTGCTGAAATATATTTAGCAAAAATTGTATCACTCTGCCTTGGGTAGCCCAAGATACTGCTACGTGATGCACTAAGAATCTAAAGTACCTAAAATCATATTCCAATTATCCGATAAAGAATTACCCAAGCTGAATCTAAATGGATCTTAATGAGTTCGTTTCACGCATCTGGTGTTAAGCATGGGAAGTTCCTTGTGATTTGTTTGTCTCTAGTGTTCTTCAAGAACTCAGTGAGTAAGGGATTAGGCAAGGAGAAAGAGGTTGAATATATAGCTAAAACTATTAAGGGAGAGTCCCTCTATCCCACTGGTCAAGAAAATAATTTGAAATAATTCACTAGGCAACAAATCCCAGTGGAGTTTGCCAAGAGACTAATTCAATTACAAAGACCTTTGTCCAAGGAGGTAATTCAAGATTAGGAACTTAGAATCAAGACTCACATTTGACGCTGTAAAAGATTCTGCCAAACGGCCTTTAGCTCCAGCGATGGTGCGCGCAGGATAAGGCTCTTCCGCCTGGCACCACGCTTGGGCGTGCGTGTCAGATCCGGCGCACAATATCCTGTGGGACTTTCGGCCAAACGGCCATTGGGATCGACAGTCAGGCGGAATTCAGTGGCTGTGGAAAGCAAACAGCATTGAGATGGTATTGAAAGTCAGCTGACAGACCTGAGTCTGGGGTAGCACTCACTTTTCTTGCGCATGTGAAAGCAGGAGTCGACGACGTTGGCTATGGGTATGGGCTCCTCGGTGATGAACAGGACGCGATCCCGACTGACCTTGGCGAACACAATGATGTCACTGAAGAGCAGCGTCCAGTAGGGCTTTATCGAGCGCCCCTCGACGCGGGACAGGTCGCCGCCGAAGATCCACTGGCGGCCCTGCACGGCCAGCGTAAAGGGCTTGCACTTGGTGAACACCATGCGGGACTCCAGATCCTGCAGGGTCAGCAGCGGACGACCCTCGCCCAGGGGCTCCATCAGGCCGCTGCTGACGGTTATCTCGCGATAGGCGGCCTGCAGCTCACCGATCACAGTGGTAAAGTTCTTGTGCTCCTCGGTGTCCACATGGCAATTGCTGGCAAGCAGCTGCATGAGCTTCAGTATCTCCCTGAAGTGCTGCAGCGGCCGATGGATGAACATCGTGAGATCGGGACGCCTGCGCGGCACAGCTGGCTCGGTGATGAAGGCTATAAACTCGGAGCCCGTCTGGCGGGACTTGTTCACCAGAACGCAATCGGCGCGCTTGATGCCGTTGCAGTACTTCTTGTAGGCGGCACAGATCGCTGTCGTCTTGGATAGATAGACCCGCGAGGCGAAGTTCATGTGCGGCTCCTGCTCCTGTTCGTTGCTGCACAACTGCTCCAGTATGTCCTCGGCAATGCGCAGCAGCTCGTCAATGTTCTGGAACAGCGTGCGATGATCGTTCGGCGATATTAGATCCTTCCTATCCTGCAAAGGCTGCACAAACCGCTGCACTCCAAAATGCAGCGCCGCCGTAAAGTTCTGCTCCCGACTGATGAGCTGCAGCAGAAAGCGTCGACGGTTATCCGTTATGGGCACAATGGACTGCATCGATTCATGGCCAGAGACAATGAGAGAGAAGCGTAGAGGGTTACGTTAGCTTAAGTAAACTTCTAGCGGGAGCGTGTGTTGAGTATCGATACCAGGAGCTACCCAATTAAGCCAGAGCTCCCATCACTTATTGATTTCTAGAGAAGTAACATTTTAAGTCCATGGCCTGATTCGGCTTTTCTTCTTCCTTCATCTATTCACATCACTGTGAACTATTCTGTTAGATCTGAGAACATAGGAATTTTCTACCCACTGTCTAACTATATAGGAAACATGTAGTAGGAAAACTGAACCTTCGGTCGACTAAGCTAGTTGTATGATGTGTATTTTAGACTTATTCCTATTTTGATTCCTTTATCCCGCCTGAATGGTACTCACATTTCATTCGGCTTAGTATATTAATAGCTTTGGGACTGAGCTGGACTGATTGTAGCTGGGACCTTTAACCTAAGGCCTAAAACTATGCAAAACAAAAAGCAAGAAAAACCAATTAAAATGGCAATTAAGAGAACGGAAGCAACTTGTGGGAGCTCCGAGACCCCACCTCGCGGAGGAAACTTAAAACCTTCGTCAACGAAAGCGAGGCAAAGCAAAAACAATAGTAAAACCAAATAAAACCGAAAAAAACTTTATTGTCAAGCAAGGGATGGGGGAGTTGGAGACGGGCTTACGGGGTACAAAAAAAAATAGAGGTATATATATATATATATATATATATATAAGTGAAGACAAATTCAATAAGAAACAACTAAAATTAGCAGCGGTGGGTGGTTGGTGATTGGTGGTTGTGTGTGGTTGAGTGGCTGCGTGGCTGAGTGGCTGAGTGGTTGGGTGATTGACTGATTGGCTGATTGGTCTTAGACAATGACGCCCTTGCCTACCTCCTTGCTGAACGTCACTTGGGGCAGGTGCAGGCGCCGCTTGGCCGCCTCGATCGAGGAGGTGGTGCCAGAGCAGGCGGTGGCCGGCCTGGACAAGGTATTGCCCAGCAGCTGGGGACGAACGCTGGCGGTGCGCTGCTGCTGCACCACAATGGCTGTCTGCTCCTCTAAGCCGTAGAGCTGCTGTTGGCTGCGTAGCTGCGACTGCTGCTGATTCTGGCTAGCGCTGGCTGTGGCTATGGCTGTTGCTGTGGCCGTGCTGATGCTGGTGGCATTGGTGGCATTGGTGGCCATGTTGGCGCCCGCGCCTGACCTTCTGAATATCTCCAACGTTAAGGACGAGCCCTGCGATCGTATCAAATTCAGAACATCAGCCTCGGGCATCGTAACCACATTGTGCTTGTCCACGAAGATGACATAGTCGCCCGGCAGTATGCCGCAGCGATCCGCTGAGAGGCCCGCCTCCACCTTTTCGACGCGCGGCGGATGTGTCCAGACAATGGAGAAGCCAAATCCTCGCTCCTCCGTCCGGGTCAATCTCTTGGTCATTGTGAACGGCGTGCGTCCCGACTGCTGGCGGCTGACGCTGCTGTTGCCCGGCAGCGTTGAGCAGCGTCGTGCAGCGCTGCCTCCGTTCACATGATTCGCATTGCTGGCATTCGCATTGTTGGCATTCGCATTGGCATTGGAAACGGCATTCGCATTGGATGCACTGCCGGACGTGCTGTTGCCCGGGTTTGTGGTGCTGTTCGCATTGCCATCGGCGGGCGGATCCAGCTCGAGGAAGCGCAGAAACAGATTCTCATCGGCATCTCGCTGATGCAGCGCCTTCTTGCTAAGCACCATCGTTGGCTGCTGCGACTGCTGCAGTGTGTCCTCCTTGCCGTTGCCCAAAGGACCGCCGGTGGCAGCCATGCTATCGATGCTGATGCTGATGACATCATCGCCCAGCACAGCTGTAGCTGTGCCATTCGGTTTCGCTGTGGCCGCCATCGTTGACATTTCAACTGCTGCGGGTCGAGCGGTAACAGTTGCTGTAAGCGGCTCCTTCACCTGCTCCTTCTGCTTCTTCTCAACTGGCTGCACCTCTGCACGGCTTGTGGGCGTTGCGTGGAGTGGGACGCGCGGTCTGCTGATGCTGCTGCTGCTGCTGGTGCTGCTGCTGCTGCTGCTAGTACTGCGGCAGCTATGAAGGCATCCCTGCGAGTGTAGCTTGTAGGATCCAGTTGCGCCAAGGCCCTGCTGCACTAAAGCACTCAATGGAAACGTGAGGCAGCCGAGGAACTCGCTTCGTCTGTGAACATGAAATTTAATGAAATTGAATGTCAGTCAGCGGAGGTCGTCTCATATGGAAATACATGCAAGCTGAGACAACGGCCCTAATTAGATTCAGCAGCCACTTCTCGAGTACCTATATTAGATGCAATGGAACTGTAAGCCTCTTTAAGTTAATTTAGATACCACTGCCTGGACTAACTACTCCCGACACACAAGAGCAACTGACTGTAGATCCGAGAGCCAACACACAGTGTGCGGCACGTAATACCCTGACTCGCGCGAAAGCACGAACGATTAATAGAGGAGATAGGAAGCACACGATGTCGTGCTGTAAAGTGGACTAATGGAGCAGGCTGAAGGAAAATTGTACAAAACAGATCTCGCAGATAGCAAAAGCGAATGCTTCACTCCCACTAACTGGCCAACATGAATGCCAAGCGGAAGTTGACCTTTCAAAGGAAGTTCCGAGCGCCCAGCAAATCGAGAGCGAGAGTTGAGAGCTGACTCTGCTCCGGTCGCAGGTCTCTGACTAAAAATCATTCCAATGACATCTCATAGGATTAGTTTTTTGGACGCTTTGCGTCACGTTGCATTACCATTTTGTTTACTATTTTTACACACACACACTCTCGCTCTGTGCCTTTGCTCGTAACACTTCCGTCCCCACCTTGGCTGGCAACAGCTGCGGTACGTGACATAAATCAATTAGCGCCAACTAAGCTGTCATGGCTTGGCATTCCCACAGATCCAGTTCGCAGCGATATGTCGGCTATGAGCTGAGGGTGGCGGTAGGCGGTAGGCGGTAGGCGGTAGGCGGGTAGCTACGGGACAGAGAAACCCCCGGAAATGCGCCTCTGCCTTCCTCTGCTGGTGCTGGGTCTGTGGCTGGTGCTCTAGGTCTGTCCGCCGCTGAAATTTCGCCCGCGCGTATTTGGGTCAGTTTTATTGATTTTCATTTGCTGCAGCAGCGCCAAAGTTGTGCGATTGCAATCGCAACTGTCTGACAGACAGTTTTGACTTACCCAGCGCTGGAAGGCGGGCGAAAAGTTCAAGGGGTGTAGCCGCGGCAAGGACTTGGGCCCTTTCGATTTTCGGCAAAGCTCGCCCGCGCACGCCAGGGTAAAAAAAAGCACAAAAAAAATAAACACAAATGGGGCCAGTGCATTAAAAATGTAGCAGGCTGCGTAGCTAGTTGCGACAGAAACTGTTGCCACCTGCCTCGCAACTGGGGATGGCATGTGCCACACTTAACCCTTGCCACAAGCCCATCAAAACGGAAAATGAATTATTTAGCGAAATGTCGTTGGGCAAATTTACTTAAAATGCTTAACGAGGCATTTGCAAATAGTCGACAACAAGGAGAACTATTTTTCAAATGCTTTCATTATGCATGCATAACAAATGTGTCAGGTGTGTGCAGGTGTGTATAGTCCCAGGTGTGCATTTAACTAACTGCCTGCTTCAATTAGCCCGGATATTTCATTGCCTCTGACCTGTGGCCATTGCATAATGTAGAGAGCACTTATCGATTTGAAATAAACGCAAAAGGCGATATGAATGACCAAATATCTAAATGCGTGCATGACGGAATGACGGCATGACGAAATGATAAAACGAATGATGGTTTGCATGGGCAGGCCAGATGCTATGTCCTTGAATTTCAATTAACTTGGCCATTGAGCGCGTTGCTAACTACACTCACACGCAAGCAAGCTCACGCACACACACACACAAACGCACACACACGCACACACAGAGAGAAACGCGGGGCACAATTATTTAGCAGCATGCCTAAAATTATGCTACACAAAACTCACATACTAGCACGCGCACACGCACGCTGGCTGGCGGGCACGCACACACAGTTATATAATTTTGTGTTGCATACTTTTAGCTGCCAGCGCAAAAGGCAATTACAGCACTGCCAACATACCAAAGGGTGTTTGCATTTAAATAAACACACTCACACATACACACACACATAGGCACCGTGCACATGTGGCTCACGCGTGCAATTGTTTGTGCGCAGTCAAAAAAAAATATATAAAAAATATTCGTCTAGCTGCATTTAATAATAATTATTGCAATTGTTAGTTCAGCGAAGCACACACTTTTAAACATTTGTTGTGGGAAACAGTTAGAGCACGCCGTCGTTGCGTTTCGTTCGCTGCGTGTTTTTTGCCGCAGCAGCGTCGTTGCAAGCCTCTGCGTCTTTTTGCGTCTGCGTCGCGCGAGCTTAACACTTGAACTGAGCGCAGCGTTCACGGCGAACCGAACCGAACCAACCGAAACAGAACAGAACAGCAAAGAGAAGAAGAAGAAGATGTGGAAGAAGAGGATAATAACGGCAACCTAAAAACTAAAGCCCAGGCAATTTTTTTACAGTTAGCTGGAAGGCGGCCTAGAGACATCGGGGCTCACGGCGCCTGCGCTGGATGTGCGACGTGCATATGTGTGTGTTAGTGAGTGTGAGTGTGCGTGTGAGTGTGAGTGTGTATATGCGTGTGTGTGAGCTACTGGAAGTCTCTCCAGAGTTAGTTTAAGCAGCCCGCTCCAACTCGCTCCGCCTGCTGCGGGCGCTGCGTTTGTTTATGTGCAGGAAATGCACAATGGCAAAGTGTGCTACAGGAAAACGTTACAATTAGGCTGAGACACCCTGCGCCACTGCCCCTGCCCCTGCCCCTGCCCCTGTCTCTGGCTTTGCCTTTTGCCAGGCGTATCCTTAGCTTAGCATTGTCCTCTCCACTGGGGGTGAATGACACGCGCATATGACAGACAGCTTTCGATATGATACTTGTTTAGCTGCTGATAGCTGCTATTGACCTTACTCGTACTCACTTCAAATGCCGATCCCGGTGCCAAACGGCCAGCTGCAGCGAGGCTGACGTTGACGTCGACGCCGTTGCCTGCAGCATAGCATCCTGCACATGGTAGCTAAAGCGTTCATCAAAGTACGGACGACTCGAGTGCCGATGGACGGCTGTGCGCTGGAAGCGACTCGAGCTCGAGCTCGAGTTCGAGTTCTCGCTGCCGCCGCTGCCGTTGCTGTTGTTGGCAATGCCGGAAAGCAGCGCCACCTTGACGTATGCATTGATGCTGCCTGCGCCGTGCAATCGCTGCAGATCGCGACAGCGTATAACTGTAAAAGAATTTAGAACTTTCGTTAGGTTTTTCCATTGAACTTAAAGAGGTTTCTAGGGGAAATTTCATTCAAGGGATTTGTTATTTTTGTAGATTTTCAGTCCAAAGTGAACATAAAACGGTTTACTATTGATTGTCTATACAAATCAAGTATTCCTGATTATTTAGGATTATTTATGTATTTCTGATTGGAAATATTCAAAACTAAGTGCTTCATTCCAATTCAGATCTCGTATCAGAGAAATTGCAGACAAATCTATGTTTCATTTAAGGCATCTAAGTAGAGAAACTTTAAAGTCCAATTCATCTGTTCCTTTCGTTTCATTTAATTTTTCCACTATTTCATTCTATTGTTCCAATGATAAAAAAAACTTTATTTAATTTGAGTAAATTAGCATTAGAGAGTGTTTCATTTTGATGAAGCAATTCTTTTCTTTCATTGCACCGTTCCACTGTTTCATTCCATTGTTCCAATGATAAAAATACTTGAGTTAAGGAATCTAATTTAAGAAAATTGACTTTATAGAGTGTTGCACTTCAGTCAAACAATTCGTTTCTTTCACATTATTGTTCCCCTGTTTCATTCCATTGTTCCAATGACAACATTTTTTGATTTAACGAATCTAATTAACCAACATTAGCATTGTGGAGTGTTTAATTTCAGTCAAGCAAATCGTTTCGTTCATATTATTGTTCCACTGTTTCATTCCACTATTCCAATGTCAAAAATACTTGAAGGAATTTAAGTTATAAAAATTAGCCTTCGACTTGTCAAGAGAGTGTTTCACTTTAGACAAGTTCTTGCGTTTCATTTCAAGGTTCCACTCTATTAATTTATACACAAATAGCTGCTTAAAGCTGTCTAACTTGCTATATGATCTACAAGATATGTAGAGATAACGGATACGTTACTAATGGAAAGCGTTTAAAATATCTGCAAGTTCATTCGATCTCTATCTGTTCACAGTGGAGGGTGTTAGGGGAAAAGGACGGTGGGGCGGGACCCTGGAACTCACCATGTACATTTAATTGCTGTTGATGGACATCGTAGGCGATGCTCAAATCGATGCTGCCACGTGGATGGAGCTCGCCACTGTTCGTTGCATTGGGGTTGGAGGCGAAGTTGGAGGCGAAGTTGGAGGAGGCGCCCGAGACGCAAGAGGCCATGGAGCCACGCTTGGCAAAGTGCTCCTCATCCTCCAGATCGCTGCCCGTCGAGCTCGAAGAAGAGAAGCTCAGGCAACGCTTGATGCTAGGTATGTGCTCCAGGCTGGGCTGTTTGCTCAGGCCCAGAGTCTTTGGGCTCTCGACTGCGATCGAGGCAGCGACTGCGGCTGCTGCTGCTGGTTTTTGCTGATTCTTGCGGCGCACTACGCGCTGCCGCTTTAAGTGGGTGGGCGTGCGCACCTCCATCTCGTGGACGCTGCTCTCGCTCCACTCGCCATCGCCAGGTGTCGCCGCCGTCGACGTTGCGGTTTGATGCTTGCAGCGCACCTCCTTGCGCGCCGACTCAATGATGGCATCCAGCATGCGATCGAGCGTGGTGTCGCCCATGCGCGAAGAGGACAACTGCGAGTCCTCAAGACCGCCAGCAGCAGTGCCGCCCAGACGGGGCAAGCAGCGCAGCGCTGCCAACTGCGGCGTGGCCTGCCGCGGTCCGCTGCCCTCACTGAAGCTGCGCCGCTGCGGACTCTTGCCATGCACGTTGCTCAGATCCTGCAGCGCAATCAGGCTGCTGTTGCCAAAGGGGCTGCTCATGAAATGGACGCCAAAGTTCTCCTTGTTCGCATCGCCGCTGGCATTGCGACGCCTGCCGCGCGCCTCCTCGACGCCGCTCGAGCTGGAGTGCCGATGCATGCGAGTCATGGTGGGCATATCCTGGCCAAAACTAAGCGAGAAGAAAGCCAAGCAAAATGAGAGACAGAGCGAATTAGAGGTATTGCAAAGCTTTCATTTGATGCAAGGCTTAAGTCTAGAAGCCGCAGATGAAAATCTGATGCGAAATCAGAAGTTCTTCTCGATGGAAGCTCAATAAGAGCTTTTTAAAATAATCTAAAAACATTGAGAGGCAGCTTTTGATAAATGCACGTTGTAAGCACAATGTAAAAGCTCTGAATTAATGGGATTAATTATAGAAGCTTTTCATATTAGAGCAGTTTAGGCATAGTCTAGGAAATCATTAGTATGAAAAGCTTAATCAGACTTGTAAAAGCTGCACGTAAAGCTCTTTAGATACAAATCTTAAGTATAATCTGTGAGCTCTGGTTGAAGCTTTGCAAAAATGGAAGTCTTAAAAGTTATCTTGAATGCTTTTCATGTGTCCAGATTTTATGTATAATAAGAAGGCTTCAGGAAGAGCTTTCATAAACTTTATTTAAAGACTATAAAAGAAGCTACTTATATTATTTTTTTATTAAATGTACACAAATATTGTGTAAAAGCTCATTAATAATAACTTATTCACGTGAGCTTTTCGTCTTTTTCTCAAATACTTCTTTGTTTGCTCTTCTATTTGATGTACGGCAACTGTGAACTATTATTAAGTATGCCAATAGTAGGTATATGCCAAGTATATATAGCTTATAGCTTAGATAGAACAGATATAACTATATATAAAGTTGTCCTATATATTCTCTGTCGGCTTCTGCAGCCTTTGCTAACTAAGAAATGCTCTACAAAAATCATAAATCATAAATCATATTTTCTGTGGCAGTTGCAGCCATTACAGTTAAGCTAAATTGAATCGTTTATGGACGAAATGATAAGATCTTGATCACAGCAAAGGTGGTTGAGCATAGTCGAGTTGCTATCTGGGCCAAGTCTGGCAGCTGGCGAGCGAGTTTTCGTTCTGCATGCAAACTGGCTGGCAAAAAAACAAGAAGATATATATTTATATGTATATAAATATATATACACACATACACGTGTGAGTGTGTGTGTGTGTGTGTGTGTGTAGCTATATTGAATTTGTAGTTATAATGAAGCGTCGCAAGACAATGGGCAGAAAGCAAGAAATTTTGCAAATTGTTTTGCGGTAAACGAGTTTTTCACGTACTCGTCCTGCGGCTCCTTTTAAAGGACCTTCTGATGCGCGCGATTTCTGGTTTGCCTGGCCAAATTCAAATTATACTTATGCTAATTTCCAGCAAAGATTCCTGCTTCCTTAAACTTAAATAAACCTCTTCTTCTTCTTTTTGCTACGCCGCAAACCATAAAATTGAACGAGTCCTTGCCAAAAAAAATAAAGGATCTGCTCGCCTCTCTCTCTCTGTGTGTGTGTGTGTGTGTGTGAAACAATTACGCCCCAGCATAATGATGCCATTTTTGCCAAAGGAGGAAGTTTTTCGAATGGAACGAAAGGATCGTTCTCATTCTGTTTATCTAGCCTTCAGGCACACACACTCACACACACACACACATAGAGCACAGAGTCTGAGTGACTGACACACGAACAATCCAAAAGGAAAATAGGGCATTCATGTAATCCATAAACGTCACCCTGAAGAAAATTAAAAAATTGCAGCTAGACAAGGCGAGAGCGCAAAAAAAATGTTTTTCCATTTACTTAAGATCTGCTGGAAGTTCGATCAGCAATTGGAAATGCCGCTCGCACCCTCCTCTGATCGGGGATTAGCAGCGCTCGGGGTAGCAGGGGCAACAAAAAAAGTGATGGAAAGAAGGTCGAAAGCAAACCAGCAACAAATTAAATGTATTAGAGCAGCGCACCACCCCTTTTGCAGGCTACTTTTTTTCTTCGCAAGTCCCATAGTTGTGGGTCTCTCAGTGATCTGTGTGGATGTGGATGGCTCTAGGGGTTAGGTCCTCTAGGGTTTCCCGCTTTCCCTTTGCCCATTTCTTGGCCAAATTAAAATTAGAGCTGGGGCAAAAGACAAATAAGTTGCGGCACATGGGTGCGAGCGCAATTACACACTCACGTGTGTGTGTGCGTGTGTGTGCGTGTGTTTGTGTTGCCAGGTGTGAGCGATCAGAGTAGCTGAGACTTGACCGAGCACTCGGATCACATGCAACAGCCCGAAATAAGCTATCGATTACTCACAGCGTAGAATATGACACGATCTTAGATACGAACACTCTGCACTTACCTGGTAGCTGGTCTCTGCCTTCTCTCGCTCAATCTATATATATATATATATATATATATATATATGTACCGGTATATATATAAAATATATGCGACTATGTCGCCTCTGTATTTGCACTTTTAAGTAAATCCTTTACACTTTTCAACTGGTGCACCGCAAAAAAAAAGAAGTCTTTGAGCCAAGTATGAATCAGAGCTTAGCAATCTCGTAGAGCTCGTCTTCTGGATTTGTGTTCCTAGTATTTTTACTGGTTGTACCGCGCGTGTACGTTCGCAGCGCACGAGGCAACAAACGGAAATGACGAGCGGATCGAGTGCTCGAAACGTTTATGGGTTCGTTTCGCCCGAGCAACCACCCCGAGAGCCAGAGAGAAGAGAGCCCGGCACGAAGCGAGAGAGAGAGAGAGGGAGCGAGTGGGAGAACGTGCTGTTAAGATCAATGCAGACCAGAAGAGATACAAATTATAGCCAGTCGGAAACGAGATCACTTTGTCAATGTCCTTGGGCTTCTGAGAGAATGCGAACATTGATTGAATCCTTAGAGAATCTCTGCTGATGGAATTTACCAGAACCACGAGCTGTCCAGCAAATTCATTTCTTTTAAAATATACATATATATACATATACTTTAAGCATATTCACTATTTAAATAACTTCAAAATCTGAGCTCATTTGAGATGATAACTAACTTTTTATAGAGTTTAAGCCGTAAAGTCTTAGCTACTGTATACACAACTAAACCATCTCATATAGAATCAGCTTTATATCATCAATCACAGCTATAAATTTAGTTTTCAATAACGTTTGTGCCTTTCTAAAGCCCCAAATACTCTAGATATTTTCTAAAACTAAATACTATTATTCATTATGCTTTTTATTTTGCAGCTGAACAGTTCCACGTGCACTTCATCACAGTCAACACAAGTTCTTGCAACAGTTGCTTCACAGATTAAGTTGAGCTGCTGCCACCGTGCGATAGATGGCGCATGCTGTTGAGCAGCTTAAGAGCTCTCACGCTCTCGCTATCTCCGTCTCGCCCTCTCTCTCGCTTTTGTATTGCTCGCTCTCCTGCAGGCAGCGGCTTACCTGCCATCTCCTTTGTGCCGGCCAGCATTGCCGGCAGACAAAGCGTCAACAGCTGCCGCACACTAAAAATACAAAAACAAAAAAAAGTTGGAAAAGAAAAATAAGAAAGGTAAGAAAAACCCACACGGCGACGTCGCAAGGTGTCTTAGCCCAGATTTGTCTCGTGTGTTGTTATTTTCTTTTTACTGGAACAGCAGCAGCAGTAGCCGCCGCCGCAGCAGCAGCAGCAGCAGCAGGAACAGTAGCCTAATGTCTCTGTCCAGCACTGATCTGTGGCTCGGAGGGAACGGACAGCGGTCATTACTTTCACTTGGATATTGATTTCGATTTTGGGCCCACTCTCTCCCTCTCCCTCTCCATCCCTCTCTCTCTCTCCCTTTGTCGCCTTTGTAGGCGGCAATTTACGAGGCAAAGGTGAAGCTTCGGTAAATATTTGTCCAGATGCTGTGCTGCCGGATCTTATGTAGACCGTCTCGTGCCTTTCAATTAGCAGCCGTTCGTTGGCTCGTTCGTTTTGGCCGACTTCAATTGTTGGCCTAAATTTATGCGCGCTCTTTATGCGACGTCCGCTGTCCGCTGTCCGCTGTCCATCTTGAGATTTTACGAGCGCTCGGCCAACTTTCTGATAGCATTTGAATGGACGCCTTTTTGGGTCAATACGATTGCCATTGCGTGGGGGTGGCTCTGCTATGTCAATTCCGTTTTCTATTCCCCGAACTGCCAACGAAATGTCCTTAATGATGATTCTAGCCAAATCGGAGCACTTCACTCGAGTGCCCAGCTGCCTCTATTTTTCTACTCTATCTACTGATCTTTCAGCTTCAAGTCACTGTCTTCAGATGGAAAGCCAGGCTCGGGCATGGCTTGAATTGTCACCCATATCTTTGGCACTATATTGTTAAGCCAATACGAAGACATGTACCAGAGACAAGCCTAGCCGAGCTGAGAAGACAATATCTAATATCTAATGTGCCCAATGCAATCTAATCTTCTCTTTGGACACTCTCTACTGAGAGTTATCTCAAGCTCAGGCTGCCTCTGGTTAAGCCTTTGCGTCCTCCCTCTTTTCTAATGGAGCGTATCTCACTAACTCTCAATCGGCTGTCTATGAATAATGTTTGCGCTTTTCACTGCTGTAATCGATACGATTTTCATAATCGTTTTCGATTTGAATTTCAATCAGATTGGCATTTTTCGTACTTTGTATTTTGCGCTTCATTAGAATGAAAATTAGCAAAAACAAGGAGTGAGAAGTGGGATGGATGCAAGGGGTTATCCACTATCTACTGCCATCGGGCCTGGGGTTGTTTGCTGTAGCGTGTGCGGGCCAATTTGTTGCTGTTGCTGTTGTTGTTGTTGCAAATTTATCTAAATCGTTTATAAATTCAATTTCCCAGCATAATAATAATAGCAAAGGGTTGCGGCCCGATATTTGGCAAACTTATTGCAAATGCATTTGACACTCGGTCGCGGAAATCGGATCACATATGTGACAAACCCCTTGACATATGTGGTGTGTGTGTGCCTGTGTGTACGGGTGTTGCATTTGCCTAATGGGCTGAAACAGCTAATATCGACAAAATTAGCATCAACTTGATTTTCGCTTGTAAGCAGGGCAAATGCATTTGCATTTCGGGCCAACAAATTAAAAATGCAAATCTTGAAGCTCTGATTTAGGCAGAGCCAG